TTTTTTTCGATATGAACGGCTTTTTGCGAGCTACTCGGCCATTGAAGTCGTGTTCCCTCAGCACTCTACGCACGGTTTCGGCACAACATACTTTACCCATTTCATTCTCAATCTCTACCACCAATTTTGGAGCCGATATCTTCGGATTTTCTTTAATTTTCCGGACTATTTTCCTTTTGTCAGCATCTGTAAAAATTTTGTTTGGTGCATTTCTGCTCTTGTCCGCCACTCGATTCTCGCGCACAAATCGCTGTATGATATACTGGACTGTACTTGCACTCATTCCTACCATCTCAGCTATTTTCCGTTGGCTTTCTCCTCTTTTAAAATTATTCAAAACCAATTCTCGCTTTTCTAAACTTGTCCGTGGACCCATCTTTTAAAAACCTGGTATTACAATATTTTGATGCGCGATTAAATTAAATTAAACACAAATAAATAGAAGAAAAGAATACCAATTAAGTCGGATTCACGTGTTCCACAAAAATACTATTAAAAGAAGCCACACGAAATAAGCTGTGAGCTTTTTTTTCTCAGAAATATTTTTTTGACGTATTTATAAAAGGAAGCTTAATTTTGCAGGTTTTATTTATCACCCGTCCTATTACACAAATATGTAGCTAAAATTTTACACTTAACGTTTTTTTGATAACCTCATTAGTTTTCTTTCTATGAGATTCAAAAGTTTTATTTTGCAGCTGCACGAAATAAGCTGTGAGCCACTGTATATGTACATGCATGATAAAAACATAGCAAGGTAGAACCGTTCTCTCAATTTGTCGGCCATGATTTTTTTTTTTGAAGTTTGTCAACATTTTAAAATCATATAAAAGTGAAAATAAAAAATTGAAATTGTTCGAAATTGTTGTTGCTTGAGATTGAAAATGAAAATGTGTGTGTGAGTTTGTGAGTAAATTTAAAAATTAAATTGTTTGGAAACGTCAAGAATTTTAAAAGTGACTCAGCGGTTCTACCTTACTATATTTTTATCATGTGTACATGTACCCTTTTAGCACAAGCGCTCATGTATGTATGTATGTGCACGTTTTCATACATATTAATGACGTTTCCCGGTAGCCGGCCAAACAAATCTATAATCAGAGCTTGAATATCAAACAAATATTGACGTACTTCGCCTTAAATTGCAATGCAAACAGTACGTTTGTATATACGAGTATAAGTATGTACATATGTATGTATACGTATGAATAAAAGTTAAAAGTAAGCAAACTCGAAAACAAAAACAAAACTTAAATTAAGGTGGAACGCGTAACAGGCTAACCTAATATTCGCGGCTTGCGTTTTGGTACGCATGCCGTCGAATTTGTTTTTTTGCGTCACCCGAAATTGACTTGCATCCGTTTGCATTTGATTTCATTGAGCGAAACGTCAAATAAAAATGTCACGCAGAACAAAAATTGGAAATTGAGTTAGCTTCATACGCACGCCGTTCAATTTCGGTTGATCTCATACAAGTTGCATGTGCATGAGAAATTTTTGACAATAAATTGGCGGCGTGCGTGAATATTAGGTTAGCCTGTAAGGCGTTTGAGTGATGTGTGGAAACAAAGTGGGCTCTCAGTGATATTTACATACATATGTATGTACGTGTGTATGTACTCTAACTCTGAAAATTTGTCTACACCAAAAAAGTAAAAAAAAATAAATAAATAAAAATCGAAAGTTATTAAAGTTGACAATAATTTTGCTGAGTGCTACTTGAATCGAATTTGTAAAAGCCGCAGCCGGGCCAATGGACATTTTATTTGAAGAGACCTGCCAAAATAATTACTTTAAAATCAATATTAAATTGATATATGTTATATGTATATATGGTATATCGAACGTCGATAATGCACGCACATATATATGTACAAACGCACATACATATGTCTATGTATGTATGCAGCTATATTCCCTGCAAACCATTTTTTCAGAGTATTCTGAATCGTAAAGAATTTTTAAAGAATTCGGAAAGATCCCATCCGATTTTTTTCCGAATTTTCTAAAATGAAATAAATTACGCACACTTCCATTCTTTTACGAAATTTCGGAAGAAAATCGGTGAAGAAATGAAAATAATGCTGCTATGTGAAGAATTTCTTGCAGACTTTTTTCAGAATTTTCTTTATTTTTCGTACAGAAATTTCTTTACGAGTTCGTGTCAACCACTTCATATAATTTTCTTTGAAGATTCGGAAAAAAATCGTTACAGAAGTCAGATACTCCTAAAGATTTCGTTAAGATTTCGGGAACTTTGGTTTGCAGGGTTGTGAGTAATATAACACGAGTGTAGCCGCTTTTAAAGTAAAAGCTAAAAATATACAGTATTTTCCCATTTACGAACAAACAGCTGTGTTAAGTGAATTTTAAATTCTCAGCAATTATTTAAAACGCAATCGCTATTTGTCTATCTATACATACCACATATCACACATTTGCAAGAGTGTCATAATCCAAAAAATCGAGATATATGTACATACTCCCATAGTAAAAATGGATACATATTTTGTTCTAGTGAGCTACTGGTAATCGGTAGAGCTATGGACACAACAACATTGAAGAAAATGTTGCGTTCACTTCTGAATACTATACTAAATTTTTATGGATTATGCCACTCTTGCAGCAAATGTGCGATATGTATCATATCCATACGTATTTCACAATTCGCAATGCATTAACAAAGTTCTGAGACGTTTTAAAGTAATGCTGAAATTGTATCTACTAATTCATTGAAATATGTATGTAGCTTAAAAATAATTAGTTTCTAGAAAACAGTGACAGAAACGTTACAATCAATAAGTTTTGAAATTTATCTAATCTCCGCTAGACAAAACGTTTGCTTAGATCACTCAGTTTAGTACTTTATGTATTGGTCACTTTCGAAAATAATATTTTATTATTAGTTTACGATAGCTTGGTATGGCCCAGGTCCTAACACATTCAGCCTATCCTTCTTCTTCTTAATGAAACACTCCCAAAGTCCAAGAACGGGTGTGCTGTGTTGCCAAGGGTTAGCATGGAGGCTCAGGATAAACAAATTTTAATAATTTGGCCAGCCTTTGACCAGATTTATCCAATGAGGAGTAGAACGCTTAACTCGCAGACTTCTGAGAACTCAGGCTTCTAAGAGTTCTCAACTCTTCTCTTATTGTATGTAATCCTATGGCATGGAAGAATTCTGGAATATTGCCCGTGTCGCTTCCATTGTCAGTCTGTTAACCTGTGTGTCTTAATGCCCCAGCACCCAGTTCAGTTGTAGTGTTGTGTTGCCCTAGGCTGTTCAATTTCCTATACCCTAGAGAAATCGTTAGCTTAGGGTTATATATTCCTGCTCCTATACATTAACCAGTTTTTGAACCATCCGCGTATCACCTTTGTGTGTAGTGTGCATTAAAATTTCTTTTATTCATTTCCCAAACGATATTAAGATGAACGAACGAAAATATTTCCCCAGAGATTAGGCTTTGTTAGTTAGTTTGGGAATAAACTTGATAATTGGGAAAGATATGCCAATGAAGCTATGTAAATAGCTGGGTAGAATCGTGGTCAGCAGGGGCTGAAGTTTAAGAGGAAATCCGAACGTAAGCAGTCCACTCCGGTCTCTACGGTTCACCACATCGCTTTTTCTACGCACAATCCAACTGTGCGTCAGTTTATTGTATACTAGGTATACGTTTTGGGGCTACCGATGATAAAATGCCAACTAAACCAAACAAATTTATGTATATCGCGCTTAATTTTGTCAAACAATCGAAACTCGCGCAAAGATATATTTAACGGTCATTAAGGGTAGTCGTGAGAACGAAAGCAGTACACTAATTGTGAATGACAACAAGCTACCAGCCGAGCTATTCGTCGTCCTCGCTTAGTTAAGCCGATTTTACCGATTTTACTAAAGCTTATTTAATTAGTAAATTCTAAATGGACAATTCCAAAGATATCTAAATATTTCGCTATCGCTGCGTGCTCACTCAAGCTCGCTAGCATTATACGAGTGGACAGCTTTGCGCGCAACTTCCATGCATGCGTGTGTGTATGCGCTCGAGTGCATGAGTCAATCGCATTTTGTATTTACTCTTATATATTGTATTCATCAACATTACCAGCACTGTGAACTTCTCATTCCATTTGGGTAGATAAGTATTCTTCACCACATCAGTTTTGCGTTTACTTTTATTATCGATTACCAATTCAACGTATGGATTAGGTTTTAGAAAACCATTATTGCGCAATGAAGCTTCTTCAACTGTAAGCAAAAAGCATCGAATAGCAAATTAAATAAATAATTCAGTTCGAAAAAGTTTTTCTCTGTGAACTTACTTGTCACACTCAACTGGTGATAACCTTGATTGTCGCCAATGCCACTGGCCGCTGACGCGGCTCCAGCTGTTGTCCCCGTTACAGCTGCTGCCGCTGTCATCGCAGTGCTTGCCGCCATAGAAGCCACATTCAAATTAATATTGCTGCCACTCATACTTCCACTACCGATGATGCTCATAGCGCTGGCACCGCCCACGGTGGAAACTGCAACGCCACTGTTGGTCTGTATGACGCCACCTACACTGGCATTGGTGGCCATTCCTGATGGTGCTATTATTGCAGATGTTGGTGCTACTGTTGTTATTGCCGCTGTTGCTGGTGCTACTGAAAAGTAGTCAGCAGCTGCATGTCCTATAGAAGCTGGTGACATAACCTTTCCATCGGCCATTAACGTCGCACACTAACTCGACTTTAACACTTAATCACTTGTGTGCGTGTTAATAACGAGTCGCGCCACTCTTGACGCAAACAAAATTGTGAAGAGTTTGTCGTAGTTAAAGCACTTGCCTTGAAACACTGCCAAATTTTTGTAACAATTTACGTGCTAATTGCGTCAACCGCTATTACTCTCTTTTTTTCTAGCGCTTTTTGTTGTTGTAATAATTGCGTTTTATTACGTTAAATTTAGTAGGAATATTTATTGTTTAGTTGGCACAAATTTTTATTTCGCAATTCAGCTGTTGAGCACCGCCGTTTGGCCAACACCACTGCCGGCAAACGAAATTTGACCTGTAAGAGAGAAGTAACTTGAGTTTAGTTCATGATTTTGCTTGGTTTTATTTTAGTTAGTAATAAATGTTATCACGTTATATGATTTGTGTTTATTTTACACATACATACATACTACAAATATAAGGAAAATAATAAGTACAAAAAATTATTCAATAGCCTGTACAGTAGCGTGGGCCGAAAATCTGCTTTTTGAGAATTTTGATTGGTAATATTAAAAATATGGTTCATTATGCTTTAAGAAAAATCTGTGTGAAACTTAGAGTTTTTCGGTCAATATCCTAGGCTCGCCCAAGTCTATCAAAGTTCAATATGCCCAAAAAAAAATTAATAAATTAATTAATTAATACATTTTTTTACTAAAATTGCAATAATCTTCGATTTATTAGTCCTACATAATTTGGTATATGGACCTTTTTTGTAGAGAATCGAAGTTAGCTAAGAAAAAAAATGTTTAATACTTGAACTTACTCGAAGTTAACTTGGCGACCCTAGGATATTGACCCAAAATTTTCACATTTCACACAGATTTTTCTAGAGCATATTTTTGCTATTACCAATCAAAACTCTAAAAAAAGCGGAATTTCGGCCACAGACAGGTTATAACCCGGATTAACATATAGGATACTTTTTGAAGGGAGTTGCCAGCGTTTCCAAAATTTAAATCAACTAATTAATAACTTAAATAAAATATTACAACAATGTGGGTGTCAACCGAAAGGGGTTCCCAAACTATTTTGTTCGAAAATATTATTTAAGATTGCCACCTTTTAAAAGAGTTAAAGTAAATTAATTAATAGCTTGACAAAACGCAAACGAAAGGGATTCAAAAGCGATTAATCTCAAAAATATTTTTCAAAGAGGGTTGCCACCTGTTTATAAATTCAAAATCAATTTAAAGAACAAGTTAATTGAAATATTTTGATATACAAGTGTAGGTATCAAATAAGAGAGGTTTAAGAAATAGTACCAGATGGACCGAGCTTTGCTCGGAATGCATACACTTTTTAAAATGTTCAAGGTATAAAATAATGCTCAATTCGATTATTTTTATCGATCGAATTTCTTATTTAACAGAACGGTTAACCAGTAGCTCTTTCCATTAAATTATGTCGAATGTTAAAAAAAAAATTAAAAAGTTTTACTTTTAGAATCTATATCTTAATTTAAAAATATTTGGCATTAAAAATTAGCTGGCAAATGCTTTTAAGAAATACGCCAGGTTGAAGCGTACATACATAGTTACAAAAAAATTTCGTTGAAATTAGTACAAATTGGTATTAAAAAACGTGGCAACCCTCAACAAAAATATTTCTCCAGTAATGTTCTCCAATATACCTTTCATTTGATATCCATATTAAGCTATTTTAGTTAAATTTTGCAGAATCGAAAATAAGTGGCAACCTTACACTAAGATCATGAGGGACAACGCTTACTATATAGGCAAGGCATTGTTAAGGAGCTTTCGTTTAGCGCCCGTTAAAGGTAATATTGTATCTTAACTTTCTAAACAAAAAATTACATAAATATACGATAGAAAATATGTGGCAACCCTATTCAAAAATATTTCTAAATTGGGGATTTCAAAACCCTTGTGTGCGCTAATGTCAAACGAAAAAGATTTAAGGTTTTAGTTTGGAAATACCTCTGAAGGAGCTTGCCTTGTGTTTGAAAAGTCGAATCTAGTTAAGTTAAACTTGTGTATAACTCAAATATACGATAAAAAATAGGATTTCACGCAAGAGTTTTAAGTGGGCTTTAGTTTTGAAAATATTTTAATATTTTTGATTAGGGTTGCAATCTATTTGAAAAGTCATAGTTGGAGTTAGAACTCTTTTAGAGTTAAGGGTAATTTTAAATTTCATAAAATTAAAAACCGTCAACATGCGAGACCTATCTTCACTCAGAAATGGCTCGACGGATTTAAATGAAATTCGGCACACGGATCGCTTATAACTGACGAATATTTGGATTTTTTAAGGTTTAAATGAAATTTTGGCAAATTAACAGCGCATGAATTCACTCGTATACATATATTACATTCGATGAACACTTTTTTTGCACATTGTACCTATTATCAAAGGGGGATTAGATTACAATCTCATGAAAGTATTAGGTAAGTAAAAATTTTCCCTATTCGCAGCCATACATATATGTATATGCATGTGTGTGCGCATCAAACGATTATAATTTGCGACAAAGCAAACACCGCTTGGAAACTTTTATTAAATAAAAAAACCCACACAGTTAGTTACCATTTTTTGATAAACACGCTAAGTCCGTACGATTATTTGTTTATTAGCGGCGATGAAAAGCGCTTGTCAACATACAATAACTACCACACAGTGTATGCATGTTTATGTAAATGAAAATGAAATGATAGACAGATCTCAGAATTTTGTGCGAAAAAATTCAGTGTGAAAGTAGAAATCAGAGATAAGCATGAATTCGGCCATGACAGATGTTTTTTCATTACTATTTGCACGTGATTATATTGTTTACTACAGAATTGTGTTTATTTACGGAAGCCTATCTGACTGATTTCAAATTTTATCACTCAGTCATGCTGCTGTCGACAAAAGTTAGAAAAAAATATATACTATATAAGATGCATTTAACTGACGTCACCTTCTAGAAGCTGTAGTATTAACTATGGTGCTAGTAGGTTTTCATGGCAAGATCTACATTCGAATGACTGACCTTGATGTGAATTTGTCACATTCAAAGTGCTTCAATAGCAGCCTGACTATCTGAGAAGATAGCTACTGCTGGCAGAGTAAGAGAAGAATGGATCAGTCACCTTGCAGCTTTCCACCGCCGGACTATGTCGAGGTACGAATAGCGATTACGCGGCTGAAAAACAACAAAGTTGCTGGAGCTGACAGCCTGCCAGCTGAGCTATTCAAGTGCGGCGGTGAGGAGCTGATAAGGTGCATGTATCAACTCTTAAATATGCAGAATATGATAAGATGAACGCATGCCCAACGATTGGAATTTAGGTGTGCTCTGTCCAAGCCACAAGGAAGGCGACCACCATTTCTGTCGGAATTAGGAAACACCTCTCCGAACCGTTTGGCACCAAACGGGGTTTCAGACAGGAGGACTCCCTTTCTTGTGATTTCTTTAATCTGATCTTGGAGAAGATAATAAGAGCCACAGAACTGAACCGCTCAGGCAGAATACTTTACAAGAGCGAACAATCGCTGGCTTATGCCGATGACATGCATGTTCTGCCTTTTCCAAGTTGGACAAGGTAGCAAAGCGATTGGGTCTGGTGGTGAACGAGGACAAAACGAAGTATCTCCTGTCATCAAACAAACAGTAGCGCATTTGAGCCTTGGCACCCACGTCACTGTTGACAGTTAAAATTTCTTGGGAACCAGCATTAACACCAAAAATAATGTCAGCATCGAAATTGAACACAGAATCACTCTCGGCAACTACTTGGTTGGTGCTACTTTGGACCATAAGTCACTCATCATGGCCGCGCTGGTATATGGCGCAGAAGCATGGACAATGACAAAATCCGATGAGGCCGTTCTCGGAGTATTCGAGAGAACGATTTTGCGGAAGATTTACGGGCCTTTACTCATTGGTGATAGCGAGTAAGGCAGATGATGGAACGATGCCGTATGAGCTTTACAACGACATGGACATAGTGCAGCCAATTAAAATACAGCGGCTCCAGTGGCTTGACCATGTCGTTCGAATGGACACCGACGCTCCAGCTCTGAAGGTATTCAACTCGGAACCCGCTGGTGGTAGCTGAGGAACAGGGAGGCCCCACTGCTATAGAAAGATCAGGTGGAGAATGACTTGGCTTCACTTGGCGTTTCAAATTGGCGTCAGTTGGCACAGAAGAGAAACGCCTGGCGTGCTTTGCTGAACTCGGCCAAAATCGCTTAGGCGGTTACAGCGCCAAATAAGAAGAAGAAGAAGGTATTATCCCTTAAGATATTAGTGCAATGTTGCCACTTATTTTCGTTTCGACAAAATTTAACTACAAAAAATCTACTTATATATGGACATTAAATGCAAGATATTTTTGAGTACAATAATCCAAAAAGTTTTCCAAAAGGGTAGCCACATTTTTTTAAATCACAAATTTGTGTCTGTTTGAAATAGATTCGTGTATCGTACATATCGTACACGGTCGTCTAAAGGGTGTGAGGACCCCGGATCCTGTGGCCCTGAGCCCCACAACAACTTTTATATACACATACATATATATCCTTTGTACTATTTACCCTGAATTGTTGATTTGAAATTGTATACACACATGTACAAATATATATATATGTACACTTATATTTTGAATTATGATATATATGCGTATGTATGTATGTACATAAGCTTATTGAATTGCATCTATTTGGATTATACTAGTACGTATGTATCAGAGCTGTGTAATGATTGAATCAATTGAGTGTGCATTCTCAT